AATCAGAATCAATTACTCCTGGTAAAATATGAATACCTTTCACAGTTATGCTGGAGTGGCCTAAAATAAATCCAACTATACCTTTAGGTAAAGGGCCATAGACTTCTGTAGGAATACATTATCATCAATAATATCAAAAGTACAACTTTCAGTAATAACAAGGTCCAGTCCTATCCTGCTGGTTGTGGCAGCATTTAAATCTGAGATTAGCTTTTGTTTTGAACTCTCTTGGTGTTCAAAAAGGGATTACTGGGACTCCATTCTGGGGCATTTCACATTCCAAGTCTGTTTTTTGTTTGTCCCATGTTTTTGTTGTGGGGCCTGGGGTTGACCTCTCCAGTAGTTTCCTGACAGAGTCTGTCTCTTATTAACGAATTTGGAATGGGACTGCTTAGCCCAGTGGAAGCCATTATTGCAAAGAGGACATTTTAGAGAAGGTTCCTTTTACCAGAATGGCATTTTTTTTTTTTTTTTTGCCTATGTCCAGGTTTGCCACATTTAAAACATCTTTGGGGAATTAATGCAGTGGCCAGCATTGCAGCTTTATGGGATTCTGTTCCTATATTTTGACAGGCTTTTAATGTTTCTGCCATATTAGTTGTTGGCAAATTACCAATGGGCTGCAAGGCTCATTTACAATCTTCATTTGCATTTTCAAGAATTAATTGCAGTATTAATACCTTCTGAGTCTCCAAATATCCAATTTGTCGGTCAATAGCATTTTGATGCAAACAGCTGACTCCTCAGAAAAGACCTTGATGTAGGGAAATATTGAAGGCAGGAGGAGACAGAGGATGAAGTGGTGGGATGGCATCACCGACTCAATGGACATGAGTTTGAGCAAGCTCCAGGAGTTGGTGATGGATAGGGAAGCTGGGTGTGTTGCAGTCCTTGGGGTCACACAGAGTCGGGCATGACTGAGCAACTGAACTGAACTAATGAGCCTTTTGTAATTGTCTACAAAGCTATGTAAGGTTTATTTGCTCCTTGTCTTATAGTAGAAAAGGATTCCCGTGGGACTGTAAGATCGGGTAAACAAAGACGAGGTTTATGAGCAGCTTTGGGGGCTTCTGTAAAAGCCTGAGCATCCGTTTTGGTTTCAACAGCCACAGTTATGTGTTATCCTTCTCCCATAAGCATATCTATGTTAACAGGGATGCTTTTTTTGAAGGTTGTTTAAAGCAAGCATAGTACAGTAATCTCTATATCTTGGAATGATAAGGAGTATTGAGCAGTAGGTAAAACCATTTTTAAAAGTGCCTTCCAATCCCAGGGAGTCATTTGGTATCCACCACCTATACTTTCTATGATCCCATTAGTAAATGAACTAGAGATGCCATTGTCCTGGGGAAGGCATCTACAGTTCCTTCCTTCTCTAAACCTTCTCTGACCATGTTTTCTACCATAGAATGCTGAGAAACATTAGGAAGTGATTGAGTAAGTCCTTGAGCAGATTCATGAGCAGGTAAAGTAGTCTTTGTTGATGCTATTCAGCTGGGTTTAAACATAATAAAAGGAGGAGGTGGAGGTGCCTCTGGCAGAGGAATAGGATCAGTCCAAGGAATTTCTCACTTGTCTTTGGCAGAAACCCAATACAACATAAATTCCAAGTATTTAGATGCTGTGCATTCACAACTTTCTCAACCAATGACCTACTCATTCCCAATGAGACACTTTCAAAGAATCTTCTTGTGGATACCAAGGACAATGAGTATAAATCACCATAAGAGGTTTAGTTAAGAGTGAAACAGAAACCTTACAACCAGCAGCAGCAAGCAGAAAGGAAAGCTGATGATAATGTGAAAGCTGTTGAGAAGAAAGAGAAGAAAGAGAATTACCCAAAGCAGAAAGCAAAAGTACTGCGTGTCTAACGACTTTGTTCCATCTCTAGCCTCAGAGGCCAAAGTTCCTACCTGGATCAGCAGACATCCTTTTTCCTTGCATGGGCGTGGTCCCTGATCAGGCGCCAGTTGTGGCAACAGCACACTGAATAATTCTCACAAACATATGAGATTATGGGAGTGTCTCGCAGAAGAGATACTCTCTGGGATAATGCAACATGCATATTTATTGATAACTTATCTTGTAATTATTAAGTAAGAGCAGTAAGGCAAGGAAGAGACCAGAATTCTAAGATTAAGGAAACCTCCTCTTGTAGGTCCAGAGGTAATCACATTAGAGTCATAAAGAAAGGACTTTGAAGATAAGGGGGTTTGTTCTGTGTGCAGAACAGCATCTAACTAACTCTGATGTGTCAGTCAGAACGTCTAACTTAAGGGAGGGAGAAAGAGCAAGCAAAGAAGAGAGAATGAGTAAGATTAAGTTCCAGGAGATGTTTCGGAGAAAGCAGTAAAACATGGTTCCCACACATATGAATTAGCTGAGTTCTGCATCTCATGGTGGTTTTGCTTGACTGTCCAGATAAACTCATGCTAGTGGAAGAGAGAAGTATTAGTAGGAGGGAGTTTACTGGAAAAAAGATAGTTAAAAACAAAAAGTACTTTAAACACAGAGTGGCGTTTACAATAGGCAAACGACAATCTTGGCTTGAATTGTGGCTTCTCCCATGGGCTTCTACCACACCTTGCCCTCCCCTTGGTTGTTTATCAGCAAAATGAGATCAGATTGCTGGCCTAATTTCCAGGGTGATTGTAACATCAAAATCTAGTGTGTGGTCATCATGGGATACCACCCATCACTCCTCTGGTCCTCCCTCAAAAGCTGAGAGGAGGTGACCATGATGATGAGGGCATTATCTGGGGTGAAGCAGCCCTGATGTCAGGCAGGTGGGTCTCCATGAGGGGTCCAGGCCCATTGCTGCCCGTACTGCTTGGGGCTAAAAAGGAAAGTCCACCAGCAGCCCAGTTGCATGACTCTCAGGCTTTGGGTCCTGTTCTTCTGTTCCTTAATCTGAAAAATGGAGCCTAAACTGCTTAGATTTGAAGTGAGAGTAAGGACAGGAATGGTGTGGATGGTGCCTGCACAGAGTCTGCACATTCTCAGCCCTCCATACGCCTTGGCTCTTTGCTCAGGAGCCAAACAGAAATTAAGACTGGTTTTCTGTTGTAGACTTTTCTGAGTTGCCATGTCACTAGCCTTCCTCTCAAAGTCCTCCATTTGGAGAAAAAAGAACTGTGTCAAATAGAAATAAGCCAGGGGACAAAAAACAGCATGCTCTCAGCCCTTCCTAGGAACTTGGCATCCATCCAAATGGCTTTGACCACCAAGGCTGGGCCTCCTCAGGTGAGTTGCTGGGACCAGAAGGCACTACTTCTGTCCCTGTCAGCAGGGCCAAGTCCAGAGGGACTTGATCAAAGGGTGGGGGTGGGCATAGACAGAGTGGCTGAGGGGTGGCTTTAGGCCCCTCTCGTAGGTACCATGGGAGCACAGCAGGGGTGAATGGACTCTGCAGGGAAGGCCCTGGAGGGCTTCTCAGAGGAGGTGATGTGAGGTTTGGCTCTACAGGGCGAGTATGATTTAGCCAGGTTGGTTGCAGCAGGCGTCCCTGGCAGTAGGATCTGCATGAGCAAATCCTAGAAGCCACATGGGCATAGCCCTCAGCAGCAGCAGTATGACCATGTGCTGGTGGAACAAAGGTGAATAAGGCAGGCAGGCTGGCGACTGCGTGCGGGTGGAGAGGACTGAGCGGATAGGAAGATGGCCATGGAGAGGGGAGTGGTTCGCCAAGGGACTTACAATGTGTTGGTAACAGTTCTCCTTCAAGGAACTGAGGCAGGGAAGACTGTGTCAAGAAGGTCGTGGAATGTCAGGGCTGGGGTTGTTTCTCTAAGGGGTCAGCAGGAGGTGAGAATAGCCCAGGTTGGGGCCAGGGTGGGCAGGGTGTTATTAACTTGAGCAACTCAGAGAAGTTTTCACTTTCCCTTTCAGTTCTCTGGGTATATCTGGGGCCTGAAAGTGTGTGGTTATTGCAGAGACACACAGAAGGCGACTGCATCTGCAGAGCTGAGAACAACTGGATCTTGTTCACACTCGGGCAGAGGAAGACTCCTGGGTAAGCAGGGGAGTAGGAGCCCTGCCCATCTCCCCATCCTCAGGATGAATGTCTGAGAAGAGGATAATAAAGAAAAAGGGAAATGGAAACTCAGGGAGGTGAGGTTATGGCCCGAGGCACAGGTTAGGCAGCAGCAGAGCCTGGATGTGGAGGCAGGTGTGTGTTTGTTCCTACAAAAGCTTTCCTAAACCAAGATGACATAGAGCATAGATGACGTAGGTCTCACATCACAGTTTACTGGCAGAGGGTGATCTTCTGGAAAGTGCAGGATGACCATAACTGGAAATGCTCTGAAATGTGATAACACTATTTATCAAGAACTTTTATCAAGCCAGACAAGGAAAACAAATGAAAGCGCTCCAACGCAGGTAAAAGTGTGGTGCTGTGTTTTCATGAAGCTGGTTGCTTCATGTCCCAGGAACGTGTCCCACACCTCATATTCTAGCCAGGCTGTGCCCGGGAGGGTGGAAGGAGCCCCCGAGGCCCTGGAGCAGGAGGAGCAGCAGAGAAGAGACAGGGCACCTGCCCAGTTCTGGGAGCTGAAGAAACTCCACACAAACAGACCTGCAACAAGGAAAGTGCAAGATTCCAGGGGGACCTGGAGAGGAACTGGGGGAGGCAGCAGGGGAAGGAGGCTTTGGAGTGGGAACTCTAATTACAGGTAACATTTCACCTGGTGAGGCAGGTGGGGAAAGGCATTGCAGGGGGAGGAGCAACCTGAGGGAAGGCCTGGAGGCTGGGGGGGAATCAGAGTCCAGGGAGCTGGGAGTCCTCCAGGCCCCTGGACCAGGCCCTGTGGGGTCAGGAGGGTGAGCACGACAGGAGGAGGAGCATCAGGAGGGCCTGGTGATGGGCTAAGGACTCTGAATCTGACCCTGCCTTTACCCCTCCTGTCCCTGCCCATAGAGTATGAGTTGTACCACGTGGAAGGGGATGTTTGGTAGAATCTCTGTCTGCCCACGGGGAGGGGAGAGCTCTCTGTCTGGCCATGCAGTTGGGCAGGAACAGGCTTCCCCACAGTCCTCCCTTTTCCCAGAAACAGCCTTTCCAGGAAGTGACCCGGAGGCTAAATGAGGAAGACACTCACAATAGAAATCCGTCAGAAGGGAGCACCGCCCAACATCCACACCCAGCTGAGACCCAAGACAAGGGTCAGGACCAGGACATGAATGGGAGGGAAGGACAGAAGGATAAGTCCACGGTCATGATGCATTTACAATTCTTTGGCCTCATCCAGGAGCTGGCCCTTCTGCTGGAGCCCTCCTCTTCTTTCTGGCTTGAATTTTCCTTCTCATGTTTCATGATTTCAATTGGCTGCCCTGCTTCCTGGGGTCCTGCAGCTTTGAGGCAGAGAAGGAGGCAGGGGAGCAGCCAGCTCTCCTCTCCCACCTGCTTGGAGGCAGGCCTGCTCTGTGAATACTCTCCCATCCACAAGGTCAGTGCCTCTAGCCTCTGCCACCAGGCACACTCCCTAGTGGACAAGCTGATGGTTACTCTTCCTAGGGACAACCCTGGGCATCACAGACAGAAGGTGATAGAAAGATCCTAGGATGGGGCTTAGGGGAGGGGATTTGGGGGAGGCTCTAAAGACATGGGGCAACTCTAGATTGGGTGCTGCTGAGAACAGGGGTCAGTTCTACCAGTGTGAGTCTCAGTAACTCCATCTATGGAGTTGGGGACCAGAGTGAGGATAAAGGTGCAATTGGTAGAGAAGGAGCAGTCATGCTTTTCAAGCAAGGGAGGGGTATTTCCTTGGTGGGGTCACAGTGATGCGTGTTTGCTGTCTCCTTCACTCCTGCTCTCAGGGTGACCCTGTGTGAAGTTGGAGTTCTGTGAGAGCCTTTACATCCAAGAGGAAAAGAACATCACCCTGTTGTGACACCAGGCCAGCTTTGGGATGTCAGGGGTTCTTTCTTTGTCAATCCTTTATAAACATTTGTGTAAATAAACAGAAGGGAATATCCCCACAGACTTCGAGACAGCTCTTCTTATTAAATTTATTTCATAACAAAATATTTCCTATTATACTTAGTCTTCTTTACATCATGAAAAGAAAAGAAAGAAAGAGACCAGCTCAGTCCTGTCCAACTCTTTGTAGCCCCATGAACTGTAGCCCATCAGGCTCCTCTCCATGCAATTTCCTAGGAAAGAATACTTGAGTGGGTTGCCATTTCCTTCTCCAGGGGATCTTCCCAACTCAGGGACTGAACCCACATCTCTTGCATTTTTCATCTCCTGCATTACCACTAGTGCAGTTTTTCAACTCTATGTCTTCCTTTTTGATCATACTTTATCTAAAGTCCTCTCATTTGCTTATTATTATGAACTCATGGCCTTTCACAGACTGAACAAGGCCCAATGAAATATATTTATAGTAACATTACCTTTTATTATTATTATTATTATTACTTTTATATGTGGGTGCCCTTCTGACTTCTCTGAACATCTTCAAGAGCATCCTTGCCTTTGCAGGAACAGAGATGCTGGCCTGTGAATGCCTCTCCTGCAAGGGGTCTTCCTTCCTTTGATGGACAGAAGGCCATGGGTGCACATGTGGCTGGCCAAGATGCTGCTGGACAATATCTGTTGAAGGTCACAGTTCACTCTCACTATTCTGGTTTACCCCTGTTTTCATGACTACTTTTCTAGAGAACTTGGTTTCATCAACACGAACATGCCTCCTGCACTGACAGTTGTCACAGCAAGAGTCACACCTATTTCTTGTTGGCACTTAATTCAACTGCTTCCATCATCCTTAAGGTGGTGGTGCTAGAAACCACCCCATTCGTGTGGGTTACTGACTCCTACAAAGTGACTTCTGCTGTCTTAGGGCTTCCCTGGTGGCTCAGATGGTAAAGCATCTGCCTGCAATGTGGGAGACCTGGGTTCGATCCCTGGATTGGGAAGATCCCCTGGAGAAAGAAATGGCAACCCACTCCAGTACTCTTGGCTGGAAAACTCCAAGGATGGAGGAACTTGATAGGTTATAGTCCATGGGATTGCAAGGAGTCACACACCACTGAGCAGCTTCACTAGTAGCAGTCTTAGAGTTAAACAATCAAAATCCTAAGTGTATACGGTTAAAAAAACATCAATTTGTACAGAGGGCTCTACTCATTCCTTCCCAAGGAAAAGCTATTTCTTTCAGTTCAGTTCAACTCAGTCATGTCCAACTCTTTGCAACTCCATGGTCTGCAGCATGCCAGGTCTTCCTGTCTATCACCAACTCACAGAGTTTACTCAAACTCACGTCCATTGAGTTGGTGATGCCATCCAACCATCTCATCCTCTGTTGTCCCTTTCTCCTCCTGCCTACAATCTTTCCCAGCATCAGGGTCTTTTCTAATGAGTCAGTTCTTCTCATCAGGTGGCCAAAGGATTGGAGTTTCAGCTTCAACATCAGTCCTTCCAATGAATATTCAGGACTGACTTCCTTTAGGATGGACTGATTGGATCTCCTTGCAGCCCAGGGGACTCTCAAGAGTCTTTACCAACACCACAGTTCAAAAGCATCAATTCTTTGGAGCTCAGCTTTCTTTAGAGTCCAACTCTCACATCCATACATGACTACTGGAAAAATCATAGCTTTGACTAGACAGGCCTTTGTTGGCAAAGTAATGTCTCTGCTTTTCAATATGCTGTCTAGGTTGGTCATAACTTTTCTTCCAAGGAGCAAGTGTCTTTAATTTCATGGCTGCAATCACCATCTTCAGCCCAACAATATAAAGTCTGTCACTGTTTCCATTGCTTGCGCATCTATTTGCCTTGAAGTGATGGGACGGGATGCCATGATATCAGTTTTCTGAATGTTGAGTTTTAAGCCAACCTTTTCACTCTCCTCTTTCACTGTCATCAAGAGGCTCTTGAGTTCTTCTTTGCTTTCTGCCATAAGGGTGGTGTCATCTGCATACCTCAGGTTCTTGATATTTCTCCTGGCAATCTTGATTCCAACTGTTGCTTCATCCAGTCCAGCATTTCTTATGATGTACTCTGCATATACAGTACATAAGCAGGGTCACAATATAAAGCCTTGAAGCATTCTTTTTCCGATTTGGAACCAGTCTGTTGTTCCATTTCCTGTTCTAACTGTTGCTTCCTAACCTACATACAGATTTCTCAGGAGGCAGGTCAGGTGGTCTGGTATTCCCATCTTTTAAGAATTTTTCACAGTTTGTTGTGATCCACACAATCAACGGCTTTGGCATAGTCAATACAGCAGAAGTAGATGTTTTTCTGGAACTCTCTTGCTTTTTCAATGATCCAACAGGTGTTGGCAATTTGATCTCTGGTTCTTCTGCCTTTTCTAAATCCAGCTATTTCTTTAGATAGTTAATCAATGTCTTTAAATTATATTTGGAGAAGGAAATGGAAACACACTCCAGTATTCTTGCCTAGAATTCCATAGACAGAGGAGCCAGGTGGGCTACAGTCCATGGGGTCACAGAGTCAGATCCATTGAGTGATTAACACACACACAAATAATATTACTACATTGGGAGGTGGAATTGTGTGAGAATGTGCTCAGGAGACAGGAATCTGGACTTGGATTCTGACTTTATCACTAGCTGTGTGTTTTGAGAAAATTACTTAACCTATCTGAGCTTCAGTTTCCTTTCTTGTAGGATTATTGTGAGAACGAAAAGTAAGTTAATTCATACCAAGCAATTGGAAAGGTGCCTGGTGCATAGTGGGGTGTCATCAACGACAATAGCTAATAAGTATTAGGTATTACATTTTTAATTTTCTTGATTTAAATATTTGTATATTATTTATTTGTTTCTTACTAGGAAAAATAAGGATTTCATTTATTTTGATGCTTTTCTATACCCTTCCCCATCTTCTGCTTATATCATTATTTCTCTAATTCTATATCCTCTATTAGGAAGCTTTGCACTTCTAAACATTTTATTTACATATTTATTTGTTATACTCTCAACTGGAGCTACAATGTCATTAGTCCTAGGTTTGTAAACAACTCTTCTCTTCAGAGCTTCAGGTCCCAAGTTCTAGAAATGTATTTTAGTTTTTATATTGATTAACTGAATTGTTAAATATTATATATATCAACAATACTTCAGTTTTAAAGCATCCAAAATAATCAAAATGGGAAAACCAGAACTTGGACATACATTAATTTACCTTAGATTTCCTTTAAAAAATCAAACAAGAGAGTTTACATATTTTAATACACTTTTTTAGAGCTAACTTGTACCAAAAAGCTGCACATTCTTCTGGGCAGATCTTTAGTTTTTCCTGATGTTTCTAATTGGCTTCATTTTCACCCTTGCACTATTTATCTTCAACATTTCCTCCATTTCTTTCCAACTGTGCCTCATATGATACCAAGTCCCCCGTCCCTACAGACTCTAGACTTCTTATCCCATTCTGAACTGGTTTCTCTTAGGTCTGATGTGTGCGCAGCTGCAATCCTTGGATTCGCTTCTTGCTGGCTTGATGTTCCTGACTCCTGGATCCCACGTCTATCTTCCTCCATAGTTACACAAACACGCCACCTATTGTTTTTCCCTGCACCTCAACTTCAAGTAACTTAAAAGGCTGGCGAAGAGTGAAGGCTGCTGTGAATATGGGATGGGACGTGGGGTTGGTGAGCTTGTCCCCTGCTCTCCCCTCGGCCTCCCTCTCTGGGGCTCTGCCCAGCAGACCAGTCTTCTCTCCTGTGAACACGCTCCCTGTTTCTCTCTCTCTCCTGCACTCCTCTTTATTCAGCTATCACTTCTCCATCCAGTGAGTCTTCAAACATTTGTTGAACACTCTTGTCTCCTGTTGCCCCCTGTTGCTTGCTTTTATTAGCAGCAGAGGGAGAAGAGGGAGGCTATGGTTCTTGAGCCCAGAGAGTGGGGAGGAATCCAGTCTACCAGGGGCAAGACCTCTGACCTTGGCCAAATCATAAAACTTCTGTACTTCAGCTTCCTTATCTGAAGGTGGGGATGCAATGTACACATATCAAATGGAATAACATATAAGTTATCATGTGTAAAGTTTCAGAGCCAATACCAATGCAGAGCGACGACCACAAGTCACTCTTACCCGCAGCTGTTATTATACCTGTGAGTACCTTTACTATCATTTCAGTCAGGTCTCAGGAGGAGGAGTTGACAAAGGCTCTCTTGCCTTCTGAAAGCAGTAGCTAAATGTAATCAACATCTGCTTTCCCTCCTCTTCTCCCATGGCAAGATAATCACATGCAGAACCAAAATAAATCTTTTATATATAAAGATCTAAAGCTTATTTTTTTAAAGACCACTGAGAAATGGAAAGTCTGAAAGGATGGACACTCTCCTATATTAAGAGTGCGAACATAAATTATGACAGTTTGTTTGCATAACAGTGTGACTCAAGATGTAAATGTTTTAGGTATTGATGCCTTGTAATTTAGTAATTCTACTTCTAGAAATAGCTTAAGGAGACAGCCTCAAATGTGAGTGAAGTTTAATACAAGGAGAATGTTCTTTTTTTTTTTAATCTTCTTTTTTTTTTTCATTTATTTTTATTCATTGGAGGCTAATCACTTTACAATACCACAGTGGGTCTTGTCATACATTGACATGAATCAGCCATGGATTTACATGTAGTCCCCATCCCGATCCCCCCTCCCACTTCCCTCTCCACCCGATCCCTCTGGGTCTTCCCAGTGCACCAGGCCCGAGCACTTGTCTCATGCATCCAACCTGGACTGGTGATCTGTTTCACCATAGATAATATACATGTTTCGATGCTGTTCTCTCAAAACATCGCCACCCTCACCTTCTCCCACAGAGTCCAAAAGTCTGTTCTGTACATCTGTGTCTCTTTTTCTGTTTTGCATATAGGGTTATGATTACCATCTTTCTAAATTTCATACACATGTGTTAGTATGCTGTAATGTTCTTTATCTTTCTGGCTTACCTCACTCTGTATAATGGGCTCCATTACTCAGCCATTAAAAAGAATTCATTTGAATGAGTTCTTTTGAGATGAAGGAGAATGTTCTTTATTATTTACACAAGGTATTAGAGACAACCTAAAGTCCAGTGGTCAGGGGAGGACAGCAGAGAGGACGGGGCACCATTCGGGGTCCTCAGCCACGCAAGGCAGGGATACAGGAAGTGCGGTGGGGCTGGTGGGACTCCAGGCCCTTGAGAGATAAAGGCTCTTGCAGAAGCAAGGAAGACCTGGGCTGTCGGACTTGTACCATTAGGAACTTTGTCAAGGCAGACTCAAGCCTGGGGGGCAAGACATCATTTTAGAATGAGAAGAGTCATTTACCAATAAACATATATCCTCAGGTAATTATTTTCATATATTAAATGGAGTAGAGTATAATCATCACAAACCTGGGATCTGGATCAGAAAGACTTAGGTTCAAATCCAGGCTCTGGCACCAGTATGAAAAACTGGGCTGACCTAAAGTTAGATTAGTTTCAGGAGCCTGCACATCATAGACACTGGATCAACATCACCTATTACCAGATAGTAACAGAGTTGCTCCAACCTCATGTAATTTCTAGAGTATTCCTTCCTATCTGTTCGTCCGTCTCTGGTTTTATTACTCCTATAACTTCACAGATGGCTGTCTCCTCTGTCATTATCTTCTCCTTGTATCCCAACAGGATAACAGGACTATGACTCGGAGGAAGTTGGACGGAGATGAGTAACTTTCCTTAACTAGTGACCTACAGAGCCTAGGAGACAGAGAACCACGCTGGGTTAAGTCCACGCTGGGTTAAGTCCCCGCTGGCACTGGTGGCCGTCCCAGGGGAACCCACCAGAGGCCTCAACCCTCACTGCTCCTTGAAGCCACTGCTCACTTGTGATTGAGCCCACATTCTGTTTTCTCTTCCCCAAGGGTGAGGTCACACCTCCTTCCAGCCTGACGGAAACAAGGAGCTGACGTGAGATCTCTGAGACCCTGCTGCTGCCATCATGAGCTCAGAAAACCTCGGAGACCGCTTGGGTAGGCAGCTGCCTCTTCTCTGTCCAGTTCCTGCATGTGACCCAGAATTTAGGGTGGTTCCTCCAGGCAGAGTTAACCTACACAGGAATCAAGAACCAAGAAGGGGTGGATAAGCATCCTGGAGACCCCCAGAGGGGCCACGTGGAGTTCCCCCAATGGGAGTGTGTCCACAGAGCCTCTTTCCCAGTCCTCTCCTTGGGGATCCACTTGCTAGGTGCTCACTTCCTGCCCCACTGCCCTCTAGCAGGTGACTCAGAAGTGAGGCCAGGACAGCTCATGGGGAGGGGGACAGCAGAGAGAGTCCCCAGGGCCAAATGGGGCAGCGAGAGGAGGTCCCCCAGGGTCCCTGGAGCTCTTCCTGCCCTCTCCCTGGCCCTGCCTCCTCCTGCTCCCAGACCCTGGGGCATCACCGCAGACACCATTCCTTCAGCTCTCACCCTGCTGCTCACCCAGCCGCTCTGCAAGAGTCAGCGGACAGTGAACTGAACCCCAGTCTACCTGTGCCACCTCCCACCTGGAGGGGAAGAGTGACGGGGTTGTTCACAGGATCACATCTGGCTCCACCCCTCCTCCACCTGGCTGATCCCCTCCCCTGCCCATCCTGAGTGTCTCTGATTAGGATCCTCTCACATAGCAGTCTTACTCAGCGGTGGGTGGTCCTAAACCCTTTTTTAGAATTAGGTCACACTGGTTTATAATGTTCTATAAGTCCATGCAGACAGCACTGGACTTCTCCTTCTGTGTGTGCTGCGATGTGCTGCTGCAGCCTCTGCTTAGCTGCGCAGTCGTTGTTGTCGCTTTGCGACCCCCAGGACTGCAGCCCACCAGGCCCTTCTGTCCATGGGATTCTCCAGGGAAGGATATTGGAGTGGGTTGCCATGCTCTCCTCCAGCTGCAGCGTACTTACCACCAAAACTTAGCTGGAAAAATCCCTATGTCCCAGAATGAAGAAATCACAGGAGTTTAAAATAAGGAGGATTGAAAGTCATGTCCAAGAAGTGTCTGACACTTGACCTTGGGTTCCACCTCTGAGCTTCCTGCTCACTGGCCTTGGCTTGTCCCTTCTCCTGTCTGTCTCACTTTCTTCTGTGAAATAAGAATAATGCCTCTGTGTGTTCATGTACCAGGAAATACATCTTACATTGAGTCCCAGAACCGCCCCCCCCCATATATATATATGCTAGTTGCCTACGTCTTACCTTCAATTCCGTAATCTCTAGATCCCTGAAATCACACAGGGATTTTGGTAACACATTTGAGCAGTGATCTTGCCCTGTACTGATCCGAGGTTAATTATTTTCATCACATTCATTATCCCATTTAATGCGAATATTCTTTTCTTTCACTGCCAAAACACAAAAGCATTCATTTGCAGGGTGCTGCCAGTCTCTGCTAGAAGTAACTCACAAACACACAGGCCCTGTACTCTCTCTCTTTGTGTGTGTGCATGTGCTTATCTGTTCATTTGTGTTCAATTCTGTGTGACCTCATGGACTGTAGCCCGCCAGGCTCCTCTGTTCTTGGGATTTTCCAGGCAAGAATACTGGGAGTGGGTTGCCATCTCCTATTCCAGGGGATCTTCCCAAACCAGGGATCGAACCCATGACTCCTGTGTCTCCTGCATTGGCAGGCCAATTCTTTACCACTGTACCATCAAAAAGCCCTCGTTCTCTTTCTAAAAATTAAAATTGTAGATTCCTGGAGACATCTAAATCTCAGGATTAGATCATGATTCTGGAGGTTTGGAAGTCCAAGATCATCAAGGTAGTGGTGGTTTCTGGTGAGACCTCTCCACCTGGCTTGCAATTCCTAACTGCCCTCTAACTGTGTCCTCACATGGCCTTTCCTCTGGAGGAGGGGGCAGGAAGAGAGAGAATCTGGTCTCTTCTTTTCTAATAAAGGCGACAATCTTATTGCATTAGGGCCTCACACCTATGACTTCATTTTTCCCCAATTGCCTCTTTAAAGGCCAACCTTCAAATACAGTCACTGGGGGTTAAACCTCGACACATGAATGGGGGTGAGGGCGGGAACAGCAGGTCCATCCAGGGCCCGGGTGACTCTACCAACAGCGCCCAGGTGGTCACTGCTCAGGAAGGTGAGTTTTAACGATTTATGCCAAAAAGCATTTAAAAAAAATTTACTCTAGAATTTGTTGTAGTTATCATATTATGATAACAAAAGCAGATCATTCTTAAGGCATAAACTTTGTTTATTAATTTCAATGAAAATACATGATCCCCGTCACACATAGATACAATTCTGAAAGGTTACTTCTGTGAGCTGGGAGCGAATCCAGTATCCTTGGCCTCCAAGGAGAAGACTTCAATCTGGAGCCAGAGACAAGGCTGGATCACTCAGAGCTTTTTTGTAGTAGAGTTTTATTAAAGTGTAAATGGGGTAGAGAAAGCTTCTAAGATAGACTTCAGAAGGGGACAGAAAGAGTGCCCCCTTGCTAGTTTTTAGCAAGGCGTTATATAGCTGATAGCAAGCTGCTAATTGGATAAAAGAAATGCCTCAGACAGAGAGTGTTGCACCTGGCTCCTCTCCCACGACATGCATTTTGAGATAGAAGGGCACAAGGGGACTCACCTCTGGCCATAAAACAATTGACATGAATCTTGAAGAAAGGCAGATTTCTAAGCAAATGAATAGTTCCATTAACACAGCTTAAGAAAAATATTTCCATGAGAAATACACGTTAGTTAGCTCAAGGTTTGAGAAAAAGTTAAGTTCAGGGGGCCCCAGGTGTCGTCATGGCAACACAGGATTACAAGAAACCTTTTAATCTCATGCAGATAAGGGGGAAAAAAGTCTGCCACTATCAGTTTATTTTCTCCTGGGGAGCCCTGTCCTTCCTCCCTGACTGTCATCCTTTATTTCTCCCCTTTTCATTTAGGAGAATATGGCTACTAGGGAAAAGGGGTGGCAATTCTGTTCAGACTGCTTCGAGCTGGCCAGGGACACAGACCCTAAATTGTTGAAGCAGCATGTTCTGTTTACCCTCATGTTGGGATCTTTGATCCAGGAGGCCCCAAGTAATAGTTGGAGAAGGCAGTGGCACTTGGAGGAGCTTGAACCACCATTTGTGACTTAAAAGCCTTCATGTGGTCAGAAACAAGTTGAATCAATCAATACATATAGATTTGGAAACTATGCACTTGATGTGCTAAGTTATTTCATCATGTACGACTCTTTGCAACCCTATGTACTGTATGTAGCCCGCCAAGCTCCTCTGTCCATGGGATTCTCCAGGCATGAATACTGGAGTGGGTTGCCATGCCCCTCTCCAGGGGATCTTCCTGACCCAGGGACAAAACCCACATCTCCTACATCTCCTGCACTGGCAGGCAGATTCTGTACCACTAGCGCCACCTGGAAAGCCCAACTATGCACCTAGTATCGTATCATACCAGAGATAAGGCTGATATCCTCAGAGAATACATGAATCATTGGTAGTCAGTGATTAACCTAGTGAATAGCATAAAATATTGGGGAATATTGGAAAACTAACAGATTTCTCTGGACATGGTTTATCTTGCCATTCGAGAGACCGGTAGATCTAGATGAGATTAGTTTAGAAAAGGGGTCTCAAAAAAAAAAAAATAGAAAAGGGGTCTCCTTTAGTTCAGAGAATCGTCAGAGTCCAGTATAGTTCTGTGTTAATCAGAGACTAAAGAACCTTTGTAAAGAGAACTAGGCTTGGGAATCAAGCAGTCCTATTTTGAATTAGCAGGTTTTAATCAAAGGTATGGAGAAGGCAATGACACCCCACTCCAGTACTCTTGCCTGGAAAATCCCATGGACGGAGGAGCCTGGTAGGCTGCAGTCCATGAGGTCACTAAGAGTCAGACATGACTGAGCAACTTCACTTTCACTTTTCACTTTCATGCGCTGGAAGAGGAAATGGCAACCCACTCCACTGTTTTTGCCTGGAGAATCCCAGGGATGGGGGAGCCTGGTGGGCTGCCGTCTATGGGGTCTCACAGAGTCAGACACGACTGAAGTGACTTAGCAGTAGCAGCAGTCAAAGGTATGGAATTAATGATAAGCATTGGTTAAGAATTTCTGTAATGTCCTCCAATGCCAAGTGACCATTAACATCCTATTTCCCACTATTCCTTGATGAGAGGTAGAAGGCATAAAGAATATTCCCAGCTATAAAATAAAATGCACTCCAACGCCTATGAATCCTAAGATAAATATTTTCTTAAATAGAAGAAACTCACTGAATCAAATGATTGCTAAGCAGAGCAAATGCAGTCTACATAAAACTAAGGTAAGAAACCTTTTAATTACACAGGAAATCAATGGCAGGATTAATGATTTTAAGAGAAGAATCATTTTTCCTGTAGCCCCACTGCTGTGAATGATATCTTCATGAGCCTGGGCCACCTTCTCCAGTGAATACCGGGAACCTATTACTGGTCTCAACTAACCAATTCATTCCGGCTTGGAGGGCTGCTGCAAACTGCTGAAATTCCTCCTTGGAGGATGAAGGGAGAGCTACTCCTTTTATGCTAGATTCCTTTGTCATGGATCCTGTGGGTTTATTTCAATAGGACCTCTGGGGCAAAAACTATTACTCGTCATCCATGTGAAAAAAAGATTAAATCTTCACTAAGTTTGACATTAACAAACATTTCAATAATCACATCAACTCTTTTTTCACCAACAGATTTGTTAGTTTTATCAATATAATTAGCATCTTTGTGATTAAACACTTAGTGAGCTCCGTTTTGCAAAACAGTCTTTTGTCCTTCCTCAGTAGTAGCTGTGCCCAGAATCTTTAAGCCATAAGCTCTAGCCATTTGGTCTGCTGATCTTCCAGCTCCTCCACTAGCCCCAGAACACTTCCTCCAGCTTTCACACGGGCACTGTGGAGCAGACTCGATAAGCAGTAAAACATGAGATGCTGATGGCAGCTCCTTGTTTAA